GCAATAAACCTCGCAATCACATAGCTGCTACCACCACCACCACCACCACCACCACCACCATCACCACCACCACCACCACCACCATCACCACCAACACCACCACCACCACTACTACTACTACTACTACTACTACTACTACTACTACTACTACTACTACTACTACTACTACTAGTATTACTATTACTACTACCTACAACGATTATATTATGCCTTGCACCTCACTCTAATGCCTGTAGTATAAGAATGGTATACACTACCTATATACCTATATATACACTATGTCCTTGTTTGCAACGGCTTGACAAAGCTCCTGGAGAGCGAAACGTTGCCACAGTAAAATGTCACATTAGCTGCACTTGTGTCCTTTTACTTAACATATTGTCGGTAATTCTATCAACGTTAATACAAGATCGTTTTTGTAGGTAGTTTTATGGTAGACTTTAAAAGAAATTTTGTTTTCACCTCTGAGTAGGAGACGACGACATCGTCGGCGTCTAAGATCTTGTTCGGTGAGGGCGAGCTGTACCTCATCCCAATTCATCAAATTTCCCGTGGAGTCTCTGTGGAGGACACAGGTGTATCTTAGCGTGGAGTCACTGTGGAGGACACAGGTGTACATTAGCGTGGAGTCCCTGTGGACGACACTGGTGTACATTAACGTGGAGTCCCTGTTGAGGACACAGGTGTACCTTAACGTGGAGTCCCTGTGGAGGACACAGGTGTACCTTAGCGTGGAGTCCCTGTGGAGGACACTGGTGTACATTAACGTGGAGTCCCTGTTGAGAACACAGGTGTACCTTAACGTGGAGTCCCTGTTGAGGACACAGGTGTACCTTAACGTGGAGTCCCTGTTGAGGACACAGGTGTACCTTAACGTGGAGTCCCTGTTGAGGACACAGGTGTACTTTAGCGTGGAGTCCCTGTGGAGGACACTGGTGTACCTTAACGTGGAGTCCCTGTTGAGGACACAGGTGTACCTTAGCGTGGAGTCCCTGTGGAGGACACTGGTGTACATTAACGTGGAGTCCCTGTTGAGAACACAGGTGTACCTTAACGTGGAGTCCCTGTTGAGGACACAGGTGTACCTTAACGTGGAGTCCCTGTTGAGGACACAGGTGTACCTTAACGTGGAGTCCCTGTTGAGGACACAGGTGTACTTTAGCGTGGAGTCCCTGTGGAGGACACTGGTGTACCTTAACGTGGAGTCCCCGTGGAGGACACTGGTGTACCTTAGCGTGGAGTCCCTGTGGAGGACACTGGTGTACATTAACGTGGAGTCCCTGTTGAGGACACAGGTGTACCTTAACGTGGAGTCCCTGTGGAGGACACAGGTGTACATTAACGTGGAGTCCCTGTTGAGGACACAGGTGTACCTTAACGTGGAGTCCCTGTTGAGGACACTGGTGTACCTTAGCGTGGAGTCCCTGTGGAGGACACTGGTGTACCTTAACGTGGAGTCCCTGTTGAGGACACTGGTGTACCTTAGCGTGGAGTCCCTGTGGAGGACACTGGTGTACATTAACGTGGAGTCCCTGTTGAGGACACAGGTGTACCTTAACGTGGAGTCCCTGTTGAGTACACTGGTGTACCTTAACGTGGAGTCCCTGTGGAGGACACAGGTGTACATTAACGTGGAGTCCCTGTGGAGGACACAGGTGTACCTTAAGGGACGCCTGTGTCCTCCACAGGGACTCCACATTAAGGGACGCCTGAATCCTCCACAGGGACTCCAACGGGACATTTGCTGAATTAGAATGAGACACAGCTCGTCCTCACGGAACAAGATCATAGACGTCGACAATGTCTGGAAGCCTCACTAATCACCACCACCGACATACATGTTACTCAACCAGGGAAAGCAACACCTACCTAACAACACAGGAGTCACGTGACCTAGTTATCTACCTGACCTCATCCCAATACGTCTTTCAACCTCTGTTAGAAGTGATCAATGTCCCAGGACCGAAACGTTTCAAACATGACCTGTGTTTGTTCACGAGTCTTTCTAAATCAATGTCCCAGTGTACAAACACTATAACATGCAAAATTAACATTTCTAACATAATAAATGATTATTAATTACTGTAATAATTTATGTGTTAATTATTGCGTTTAACTGTAGTTAAAATTTAACTCTAAAATACTCGGAAAACTTAAAGAAAGTTCTACACACTTTTCAGGTTTACAGTAACTTTTAAGTAACTTTCCAGTAACTTTCCAGTAACTTTCCAGTAACTTTCCAGTAACTTTCCAGTAACTTTCCAGTAACTTTTTAGCAACTTTCCAGTAACTTTTTAGTAACTTTCCAGTAACTTTCCAGTAACTTTTTAGTAACTTTCCAGTAACTTTCCAGTAACTTTCCAGTAACTTTTTAGTAACTTTCCAGTAACTTTCCAGTAACTTTCCAGTAACTTTCCAGTAACTTTCCAGTAACTTTTTAGTAACTTTCCAGTAACTTTTTAGTAACTTTCCAGTAACTTTTTAGTAACTTTCCAGTAACTTTCCAGTAACTTTCCAGTAACTTTCCAGTAACTTTCCAGTAACTTTCCAGTAACTTTTTAGCAACTTTCCAGTAACTTTTTAGTAACTTTCCAGTAACTTTTTAGTAACTTTCCAGTAGCTTTTAAGTATCTTTCCAGTATCTTTCCAGTAACTTTCCAGTAACTTTCCAGTAACTTTCCAGTAACTTTCCAGTAACTTTTTAGTAACTTTCCAGTAACTTTTTAGTAACTTTCCAGTAGCTTTTAAGTATCTTTCCAGTATCTTTCCAGTAACTTTCCAGTAACTTTCTTTCCCGTAACTTTCTTCAGTAACTTTCCAGTAACTTTTTAGTAACTTTCCAGTAACTTTTTAGTAACTTTCCAGTAACTTTCCAGTAACTTTCATAACTTTCAGTAACTTTCCAGTAACTTTCCAGTAACTTTCCAGTAACTTTCCAGTAACTTTCCAGTAACTTTCCAGTAACTTTTTAGTAACTTTCCAGTAACTTTCCAGTAACTTTCCAGTAACTTTCCAGTAACTTTCCAGTAACTTTCCAGTAACTTTCCAGTAACTTTCCAGTAACTTTCCAGTAACTTTCCAGTAACTTTCCAGTAACTTTCCAGTAACTTTCCAGTAACTTTTTAGTAACTTTCCAGTAACTTTCCAGTAACTTTCCAGTATCTTTCCAGTAACTTTCCAGTAACTTTCCAGTAACTTTCCAGTAACTTTCCAGTAACTTTTTAGTAACTTCCAGTAACTTTCCAGTAACTTTCCAGTAACTTTTAGTAACTTTCCAGTACTTTTAATTATCTTTCCAGTAACTTTTCCAGTAACTTTTTAGTAACTTTCCAGTAGCTTTTAAGTATCTTTCCAGTAACTTTCCAGTAACTTTTTAGTAACTTTCCAGTAGCTTTTAAGTATCTTTCCAGCAGTAACTTTCCAGTAATTTTCCAGTAACTTTCCAGTAACTTTCCAGCAACTTTCCAGTAACTTTCCAGTAACTTTCCAAAAGTAACTTTGCAACAGAGTTTATAATCAGACTGAAAGTCTTCAATTTCATCATATTATCAATAGCCACTGAAATTGGTTTCTTTCTTCACAGGAAACCAAGTCTGCGATCATCAAAGCCACTGGAAGATCATCAAAGCCACTGGAAGATCATCAAAGCCACTGGAAGATCATCAAAGCCACTGGAAGATCATCAAGCCACTGGAAGATCATCAAGCCACTGGAAGATCATCAAAGCCACTGGAAGATCATCAAAGCCACTGGAAGATCATCAAAGCCACTGAAGATCATCAAAGCCACTGGAAGATCATCAAAGCCACTGGAAGATCATCAAAGCCACTGGAAGATCAATCAAAGCCACTGGAAGATCATCAAAGCCACTGGAAGATCATCAAAGCCACTGGAAGAATCATCAAAGCCACTGGAAGATCATCAAAGCCACTGGAAGATCATCAAAGCCACTGGAAGATCATCAAAGCCACTGGAAGATCATCAAAGCCACTGGAAGATCATCAAAGCCACTGGAAGATCATCAAAGCCACTGGAAGATCATCAAAGCCACTGGAAGATCATCAAAGCCACTGGAAGATCATCAAAACCACTGGAAGATCATCAAAGCCTCTGGAAGACCCCAAAAGTCACTGGAAGACCCCGAAAGTCACTGGAAGATCCCCAAAGCCACTGGAAGACCCCGAAAGCCACTGGAAGATCCCCAAAGCTACTGGAAGACCCCCAAAACCACTAGAAGATCCCTAAAGCCACTGGAAGATCCTCAAAACCTCTGGAAGATCTTTAAAGCCACTGGAAGATCATCAGAACCACTGGAAGATCATCAGAGCCACTGGAAGATCATCAGAACCACTGGAAGATCATCAGAGCCACTGGAAGATCATCAGAGCCACTGGAAGATCATCAGACCCACTGGAAGATCATCAGAACCACTGGAAGGTCATCAGAGCCACTGGAAGATCATCAGAACCACTGGAAGATCATCAGAGCCACTGGAAGATCCTCAAAGCCATTTACGCCGCTGGTTCAAGCCACCCTGGTCACCACTTCTATGTGACTGTCTACTTCTATCTTAAGAGATAGCATTGTATGACGTACATCAACGGATCATACAGCTGTATGTATGTGTATGCTCTGGGTGTGAGCATTTAGTGGGAAATATACATACTGTGTGCTTATCTTGTATACATATGTCTCTAGTGTGTGTCCAGTCATACAAGAACATTGCTGCCTATACATCAAAGTATACACGCTGGGAACGTGTATGATCACAGGTGCTCATACTACGAGGTATACACACTGGACACGTATACCAGGAGGTATACATACTGGGCACGTATACCTCGTGTATAAACATTCTTGACACCCTGTATGCCCACAGTAGACGTTCAGGTGCCTATCTCCCGGTCCAGGAGACACAGAGGGTCACCTAAGGGCCACCTACTTACCAGGAACCACGCCCACCTTAGGCAGGTGCTCACTAGGGGCCGATGTCAACTATCATCCAGCCTCCCAAGTCACCTACCCTCCTGGGCAGGTGACATCACCTGCTTATACGAGGCAGGTGACGTCGCTCTCTCGCACCTGCACCTATCCTCTCAAGGGGACTTCACCTGCCAGGGAAGTCAACTACTCACGTCAGGTGACGACACTTGCCCGGGCTGCCACCTACCCTTCACAGCAGATTTCACCTACAAGGGAAGTCACCTATTTGCGCCAGGTGACACCACTTGCGCGTGTTGCCACCTATCCTTCACAGTCACCTTCACCTACCAGGGAAGTCAACTACTCACGTCAGGTGACGCCACTTGCCCGGGCTGCCACCTACCCTTCACAGCAGACTTCACCTACAAGGGAAGTCACCTATTTGCGCCAGGTGACACCACTTGCCCGTGTTGCCACCTATCCTTCAGAGTCACCTTCACCTACAAGAGAGGTCACCTACCCACACCAGGTGACTCCACTTTCCCGAGCTGCCACCTACCCTTCACAGTCACCTTCACCTACAAGAGAGGTCACTTACCCACACCAGGTGACTCCACTTTCCCGAGCTGCCACCTACCCTTCACAGTCACCTTCACCTACCAGGGAAGTCACCTACCCACACCAGGTGACTCCACTTTCCCGACCTGCTACCTACCCTTCACAGTCACCTTCACCTACCAGGGAAGTCACCTACCCACACCAGGTGACTCCACTTTCCCGAGCTGTCACCTACCCTTCACAGTCACCTTCACCTACCAGGGAACTCACCTACTCACGCCAGGTGACGCCACTTGCCCGAGCTGCCACCTACCCTTCACAGTCACCTTCACCTACCAGAGAACTCACCTACTCACGCAAGGTGACACCACTTGCCCGAGCTGCCACCTACCCTTCACAGTCACCTTCACCTACCAGTGAAGTCACCTACCCACGCCAGGTGACACCACTTGCCCGAGCTGCCACCTACCCTTCACAGTCACCTTCACCTACCAGGGAACTCACCTACCCACGCCAGGTGACACCACTTGCCCGAGCTGCCACCTACCCTTCACAGTCACCTTCACCTACCAGGGAACTCACCTACTCACGCCAGGTGACACCACTTCCCCGAGCTGCCACCTACCCTTCACAGTCACCTTCACCTACCAGGGAACTCACCTACCCACGCCAGGTGACACCACTTGCCCGAGCTGCCACCTACCCTTCACAGTCACCTTCACCTACCAGGGAACTCACCTACCCACGCCAGGTGACACCACTTGCCCGAGCTGCCACCTACCCTTCACAGTCACCTTCACCTACCAGGGAACTCACCTACCCACGCCAGGTAACACCACTTACCCGTGCTGCCACCTACCCTTCACAGTCACCTTCCCCTAGCCGCAACACTACCTACCCTCAGGTTCCCAGGACCAACCGCTCACCACACCACCTAGATCAGGTGACTATAGTCTCCTGCACATCCCAGGACTCTGAACAAGCGTCAACATCAACCTTCAGTATGAGTAGAAAGTCTAGGAAGCGGTCACCCTCCGCCAAGTTTGTCTATGAGGCACCTCCAGCACCCCAACACTGTACACAGGTGCGTACACAGGAGTACGTACACAGCTGAGTGTACACACGGGACAGTTTATGTGTATTTGCTAAGAGACAGGCCTAGGAGCTGTGACTCAACCCCTGTGGTATTAGATAGGTGAGGACAGATAGATGTGGGTTATATCCCACAAGGAGAAATAATCTTTGGAGGTAAGCCTTAGGCTTATTTGGGTATATTGTATAGGCAGAGAATTGGTTGTTAGGCCAGATTGAGGCCTGATGAAAGAGTTGTGGGGTCAGTCTCACTATTTCTAGGTTTGTTGAGGAAGTGAGAACTATATAGCATGTCGTGGACCAAGCTCTAGATTTCAACTAGGCCTACCTGACGTCAGCACGAGGCCTAGGAAGCATAGAATGAAATACAATCTGGACAGTTATATTATCGCTTGGCCACGGTACCCATAGTCATCCCAACTGTGACTAATAAACCAATTCAATTGAATTCAAGTTTATTCTCTATAAGGGTCACAATGCTGGGTTTACATGTTATAAAATACTAATTACAGAGGGGGCCACTAGGACACCTAGCATGGCTAGGCATTACAGAGGGGGCCACTAGGACACCTAGCATGACTAGGCATTACAGAGGGGGCCACTAGGACACCTAGCATGGCTAGGCATTACAGAGGGGCCACTAGGACACCTAGCATGGCTAGGCATTACAGAGGGGGCCACTAGGACATCTAGCATGGCTAGGCATTACAGAGGGGGGCCACTAGGACACCTAGCATGACTAGGCATTACAGGGGGCCCACTAGGACACCTAGCATGGCTAGGCATTACAGAGGGGGCCACTAGGACACCTAGCATGGCTAGGCATTACAGAGGGGGGCCACTAGGACACCTAGCATGGCTAGGCATTACAGAGGGGGCCACTAGGACACCTAGCATGGCTAGGCATTACAGAGGGGGCCACTAGGACACCTAGCATGGCTAGGCATTACAGAGGGGGGCCACTAGGACACCTAGCATGGCTAGGCATTACAGAGGGGGCCACTAGGACACCTAGCATGGCTAGGCATTACAGAGGGGGGCCACTAGGACACCTAGCATGACTAGGCATTACAGGGGGCCCACTAGGACACCTAGCATGACTAGGCATTACAGAGGGGGCCACTAGGACACCTAGCATGGCTAGGCATTACAGAGGGGGCCACTAGGACACCTAGCATGGCTAGGCATTACAGAGGGGGCCAATAGGACACCTAGCATGACTAGGCATTTCGGGCAGACTTTAACAATGTGAATGCTTTTGTTTTGGCACAATACAAAGTGTCTATATTGGAGTATCATAGGCAAACTTATGACTAGTTAGGATTTATTATTTTAAGATTAAGATTAGTATTTCTGGGTTTATAGTCAGTGGATGAGTGAGTGTAATTGTGAACCACCAGGTGGTATTCGTGTAGTTAGTTGACGGGGTGTATCAGGGAGATAAGATGTTTTCCAATGGTAGTTTTGAAGGTGATGAATGTGTCTGCAGTTCTAGAGTTCTCAGGTAGGGTGTTCCAGATTTTAGGGCCTTTGACATACATTGAATTTTTGTAAAGGTTTAGTCGGACACGGGGAATGTCATAGAGATGTTTGTGTCTGGTGTTATGCCTATGGGTTCTGTCACAACTATCAAGAAAGCGTTTTAGGTCAAGGTTGATATTGGAATTTAAGGTCCTGTATATATAGATTGCACAGTAGTAAGTGTGGATGTACTGAACAGGGAGTAAGTTTAGATCTATGAAGAGTGGGGGGGGTGTGTTGCCAGGGATGGGATTTAGTGATTATTCTTACTGTGGCTTTTTGTTGGGTTATTATTGGCTTTAGGTGTGTTGCTGCAGTTGATCCCCAAGCACATATAGCATAGGTGAGGTATGGATATATAAGTGAGTGGTATAGTGTGAGAAGGGCAGTTTGCGATACGTAGTATCGTATCTTGGAGAGGATCCCAACCGTTTTGGATACTTTTTTGGTTATGTGTTGGATATGGGTGCTGAAATTTAGGTTGTTGTCGAGGTATAGGCCTAGGAATTTGCCCTCATTATGTCTGGCAATTAGAGTGCTGTCGAACACAGAGCATTGGCATGGATGCCAGGCATGAATGACAAGCAATTACATAAAACAAAGAAGGGTAGGAAAAAAAAGGGCGGGGGTGCTAAAAATGGTGTAGACAGTGCCACTGCAAAGCAGGAACTCGTGCTAGAGGCAGTAAGCCATCCTAAGTCGGAGACCATAGAAAGTGCGACATCACACAAGAAAACATTACTTGGCTGAGCTGTGGAGCCAGACAGGGTTGTTGACTGGGAACTGTGTTGCAGGGAAGTCATGGCAGGGTTGCTCTAATGTGGCACAACTTAATGATTCCAGCAAGTGGGGTGTCCTGGAAACTTGTTATGCTGGAACAGGGCCTGCAGACTAAGCCGTATTCCAGATTTCTTGACTGGGAGTGTGTAAGGCAGTCGCTGGAAGGGTAACTCAAGCAAAGGCACCACCTGCCAGAGAGTAGGGTATTTTGGAGACAACGTCGTCGAGTGGTGAGCCATAAGGACGACTCGGGTGAATGTGTCTTCAGTGATGCCAGTAGAAGTGGTCACTGCCAGAGAATGAATCTGTTTGGGAGTCGTAGACAAAAATGACTCAGTTTGTGTGATGTTAGCGAGAGTCAGCAAGCATAGTTCTCTCTGTACAGGATGTATGGAAGACTCATGTATTTGACACTGGGACTGACAGAAGGGTGTCAGTGGACATGTCAGAGTGTGACCTGTAACCCTAAGGGATGTGTTTTGATGGGCTAGACCAGGGGTCTCCAAACTGCGGCCCGTGGGTCACATGCGGCCCACCAAAAGATTTTACGCTGCCCACAGCGACTTGAAATATGTATAAACAGTAAAAGTATTAACCCCTAATTTCAGTCACTTAAAGTTAAGAATTTTGTTGCTTGTAACAATTTATACGTCAAAATTCATTTTTGAGATATACCCTTAAGTTGAAGAAGGAAAGAAGCAGTGCAGAGTGAGTACCTCGTGTTTAATAAAGAATGGAGAATAAAGTACGAAACTTTTCGGCTTTGAAGAAATACAATGTACGTCGGTATTGTGAGACCAAATATAAACCTAATTGTTCCCAATTCACAGGAACACAGCGTTCGGAAAATTTTGAATCAATGCAGCACAGGTTGCTTTCCCAAGAAGGTTTTTTATGCATAAGAGAGATGAAAACTAAGCTATAAGCAGAGACAATTACGAAGTAACTTATACGTTAGCTAAAACAGGAAAGCCAAGGAGATATAATCCAAGAGTGTATAATGGAAGCAGTGACGGAGTTAGGTCAAAAAAAAATCAAATCTGTTTAAAATCCTCAGTCTTGTGCCAGATACTATTGCTAGTAGAGCTGAAGATGTATCAAGAAATATATTTATTCTCTTACTCCTCATAAATGAATGATGTGACATCACTGACAAGTGATGGAGGACAGAGTACGTCTGGGGTGAAGGAACGTTTGGTTGGACAAATCACAGAAGCTTCTGAGGATGATGGATTCTCAAAGACGATGTTTCTACGTTGTGTGGAGAATATGTGGTTATACCAGGTTATTACAGCGGGGCTCTGGTGGCCTGGTGGTTAAAGCTCTGGCTTCACACGGTGAGGGCCTGGGTTCGATTCCCAGCCAGAGTAGAAACATTGGACGTGTTTCTTTCCACCTGTTGTCTATGTTCCCCATCAGTAAAATGGGTACCTGGGTGTTAGTGGACTGGTGTGGGTCGCATCCTGGGACACTGACCTAAGGAGGCCTGGTCACAGACCGGGCCGCGGGGGCGTTGACCCCCGGAACTCTCTCCAGGTATATCTTGTGTTTCTTAAACCTGTTGTTTCCACAGTAATTTTCATTCGAACTGATCAGGGTCTTAGTCATCGCCAGTTTCGTGATTTTCTGAAAGAAACTGATTCTCAGTTCGTTGACTTGTCTTATTGTAGAGCAGTTCGATGGCTTAGTTATGGTTCGGTCACAGTTCGTTCAGCTCAGAAAGGAAATTGATTCATTCCTCACAGAGAAGAATAGACCAGAACCACATCGAACACTGACTGGCTTTTGGAAATTGCCATTTGTGTGCTGATGTGACGAGACATGAACCAATTGATTCTGAAGTTGTAAGGTGAAACGAATCTGATTTATGATCTGTTTACACATGTTAAGGTAATCAGGGCTAAATTGATGCTATTTGAAGAACAGGTGAAGGTTTCTATCTTGGTTCGTTTCCCAAGTTGTGAAATATTTCATGAAAAAAGGTGGAGCAGGATTTCCTTTTTCATTTCCGTCAGAAATCATCAATGATTTGCAAAAACAATTTTAGAAATAATTTTCCTATTATTATAGAAAAAACAGATCTCAAAACAAATGACATGCTAAAAGTATATGGGAAGAAATCTGATCCAATTTTATAAATCTTTGCACCACGAAAAGTCTCCAAATTTCAAGCGATTTCTTTGTGGATTCCTGTCGGATTTTGGTATAATGTACCATTTAAAATCCGTTCTAATATTTGGCTCAAGCTGGACACCTCATTCAGCAATATATTGAAATTACAAAAAATTGCTCTATCATACCCATTAATCTTGTGATGTCTCAGTGTAAAAACGATATTAATTTATTCATTTATATTTATTTCTAAGACTGATTTTTTTTCTCTGGTCTGCGATAATGTGGAAAATATGTGATGTGGCCCTGTCTAGATATTGACCACTCTGCTGAACACACACATAAGAGTTTAGAGCGTCATGTGTGATTTTCGTTCACCATGAGGTGGGCCAAAACGACATGTGTTCGAACCCTTGCCTAGTTGCAGTGTTGTTATTTGATTCTGACAGTACATGCACAAGGTATACAGACCATAGCTGACATCAGTGACATACTACTATATAGAAAGTCACTTGTTATGCTAAGCATTTCCCGAAAATTAGGTCAATTTGTCCCAGGATGCGACCCACACCTGTCGATTAACACCCAGGTACCCATTTTATACTGGTGGGTGAACACAGACAGCAGGTGTGTTATGGAAACACGTCCCTAATATTCTCAGGTCGTACCCTGGATTCGAACTCCAGACCTCAGTCTGTGATCTGGGAGCGCTAGAAACATTGTTGGAACGATTTAAAGATTTTTCTGTACAAAAATGAACACTAAAGCACTTAAACATATGTGGTTGTGCAACAATGGTATAAAATACTGACTGAGAGGACATAACATGCATACTCAGTCGAACACTGTGCTATTGACTGGGAACACTCAGCATATCTACACTTTCTCAAATTTTGCAGAGATTACTGAAAAAAAACACTTTAAACTGCTCACTGTGAAACAGTGACGTAACATTGGTTGTGTGACGTCTTAATATGACGTCAGGTCTGACACTGTAGCGTGGCGCTTGCATACCCTTTGACGCCAGAATAGCTAGAGAGAACATCGGGAAGCTAGTATTGTGATAGTGTCTGGGTATGGTTAGGACAATCACAGGCTGTGCTGAGCACATGTCTGGGGGCCCGACTGTGCCACTGACAGAGCAATTAGAGGCAGTAACAAAAAAACACACTAAAACACGCCAGTACTGACCTCAGGCTACAGAATAGTGGTAAGAAGCTGTAGAAAAGCTTCAGGTAACTCACAGCCGGGTGTAGGGTGAGACACCTGTGAGGTAAGGTGTCCAGGCTTGGACATACACGTGGTTTGGACATCCACGTTGCTTTGAGTGGCTTGGGCACTTGCATCTACAGTTTTAGCCAGAAATTCACAAGGAACTCACTGAGATAGCATAGTGTTCGGAGGTCAGGCCTACGTGTGTGGGTAGTCAAGATAGCCTCAGGGTGAGCCACAGCACCAGGGACAATCCAACAGAGAAAACCCTACTAAACTCACCCTGTCATGCTGTAAGGAACCGTAAAGAGCTGAAGTAGCCGTCAGCAAGTTACAGGTGATGCTGACCGCTAGTTAAGGACAGCATGGGAGGCTGGAAAGACCCAGTTAACACTGCCAAGATTTCCCAAAGTAAATTAAACATATTTGAGCATAAATCTTGCATGTACCTGAGTCTGATTTATGTAGATAGGGGACCCAGCAACAAGATAACATGCTGGCAGATGGGGAGATGAAGTATCTGGGGACTTCAATCTTAATTCTTCTTTCTCTGGGCATAGCACACCACTGCTGTCAGATATCTGCTAAAATAATGGTCTTCCAAGGTGAACCTTTGGGTATATGTTATAGGCAGTGTGTTGGTTGCTAGGCTACGCCAGGCCGAGAGCTACTGAGAGAGTTGTTGGGGACGTCCTGCTGTTTCTAGGTCTGCTGAGTTAGTGAGACAAATAGCGCTTCGCAGACCCAGCTCTAGGCTTGAACTAGGGGTTACTATGTGTGTGTGTGTGTTGTGGGTTAGTTGTGAATTGTTCCAGGCAGAGTATTGTGGGTTAGTTATGAATTGTTACAGATATGATACTGTGGGTTTTAATTAATAAGTTTTAAGGGTAACTAATGTAATTTTGTGTTCCAGGTGCTGGCCACCCTTGTTGTGTCACTGGGCCCTCTGTGTGCTGGCCTGGGCAAGGGGTATTCCTCGCCTGCCTTGGCCTCTATGGCCATGCTGTCTGCTCAGGGCCACCATTTCTCCATCAGTGAGGACCAGGGGTCATGGATAGCCTCCTTGTCACTGCTGGGGGCATTCTTCGGGGCCGTGCCGGGGGGCATGGCTATCAGGTTTGGGAGGAAGAAAGTGCTATGTGCTGTGGCTATACCCTTTGCCCTGTCGTGGCTGCTAACGGTGGTAGCGTGGAACGTTAGCATGTTGTATGTGGCAGCGCTGATGGGTGGTGTGTGCTCGGCTGTCATCGCTGTTGTCACGCCTGTCTACATCAGCGAAATCGCTCACCCGGAGATCCGGGGCTGTTTGTGTGCCTTAGCCAAGCTGAGTAGTAACATTGGTATGTTGCTTTCCTATCTGCTAGGAGCGTTTCTCAACTGGAGGGAACTGGCGACAGTTACTGCAGTGGCTCCAGTGTGCTTGTTCCTAGCAGCCTTGTTCATCCCAGAGACGCCAAGCTTTCTGTTATATAGTGGTCGTGACTCCGAAGCTGCCGATGCGCTGAGATGGCTACGTGGATCTGAAACCGACGTTGCTCGGGAGTTAACGACCATGAAGGCAAATATCGCTACTCTGCGCCGTGACACAATCTCCGGTCGTCAGCGCACGGCGCCGCGGGACCTCCTGCGGCCACTCTTCATCACCTGCGGCCTCATGGTCTTCCAGAAATTCAGTGGAGCCAACGCCTTCAACTTCTATGCTGTGCCCATTCTAGCCAAGACCTTCGTGGGCTTGAACCCCTACCGGGCGGCGGTAGTGGTGGCCTTCGTGCAGATCTGCGCGGGAATGGCATCCTCAGCTCTGATTGACACAGTTGGGCGTCGTCCCCTCCTGGTCTTCAGCAACATGCTCATGTCTGCTGCTCTAGCAGCCTTCGGAGGCTACATGTACATGAAGGGACTCGACAAGGATGAGAACATCCTCGCTCGCCAGCAGTGGAAAGACTCAGATTGGGTTCCTCTCTTCTGTATCCTCGTTATTGAAATAGCTTTTGCTCTTGGTGTTTCACCAATCAGTTGGCTCTACATCGGGGAGCTCTTCCCACTAAAGCACCGAGGGCTGGGCTCCTTAGCAGCATCCGTCAGCTACGCTTGCTCCTTCGTCAGCGTCAAGACCTTCGTCGATCTGGAGTTCTTCCTGGGTTTATATGGAGCCTTCTGGCTGTACTCCAGCGTCGCGGCTCTAGCTCTGGTCTTCACTCTTATATTCGTACCTGAGACTAAAGGAAAGAGCCTTCAAGAGATGCAGAGTGTAGATCATCAGAAGGAAACCCTGATATAGCAGCCAGCCCGCCCACTAGCACCGCTGCGGCCACCCACCGTCCACTGGGAGATGCCCCCTGGACAGCGACCCTACAGGGAGATTCTTCTGTAGGTGCTGCTGTAGGAACCAGAGCCCTGGCCCTGCGGCACTGCCCTGTCTTCCCAAAACTGGTGGCTAGCCACCCAACCTGCGGCGCCGCAGGAAACCAGGAGCCACAAGGGCCGCAGCTTTGCTAGAGGGCGGCTAACAGCCTTGTTACACCTGTCTTATGAACAGTATCTTCACTAGTGGAAATTTGTGAGAGTTCACGAGAGTATTGCAGTGTCCAAGGTCAACAATGTGTTGAACAGACACAACACTGATCATAAGAGCAGGCTCAGACGTGATTCGTGCTCATAACAGGTTCAAACCATGTTCTTCCGTGTTTTGGAAAAGACTTATGTGGGGTCCCCGACTTACGAACGCCCTAAGGTACACACACACACAACTCCACTTACGAACAGGGTACTTGTTACCCAATGGAATTTTTACAGCCACCAAATGAAAGAAGTACCAACACTTTGTACTGTTTGTAATGTAGATACCTTGTTTGTAAGTCGAAACACCAGCAATACAGCCTGTTCGTAAGTCGAAACACCAGCAATACAGCCTGTTCGTAAGTCGAAATACCAGCAATACAAGTTATATCTTAACTAAAACACCAGGAACACAAACTATTTGTGCTCCCAGGATTCTGGAAGTCTGAAACACCACGAACGCGTTGCGTTCTCAAGTCGAAACACCCACCTCCCCCCTATCCCCTAAGCTCCACCCGTTCGTAAGTCGGGGACCTGCCCAGAAAAACAAAACTTGCACCAATTTGATAATTTTCTGTGATGTGTGGCAACCAATGCTTCCTATCACCCACCCAAACGGACACACCAGAAGTGTTCAACACTCCCTTGAACACCATAGCAAGAGTGTGCTAACCAGCCTTAAAACCGATTGTACATATTAAACCACTTAGAGATAGTCCAGTAATCAGGGTTCATCTATTTCCCCTTCACCTATCTATCACCATAGTTGCCAGTCTATCGCTGCTAGGTCTATCGTCTATTCTCGCTAGTTCTGATAGATGCGCATGGTATTCACCCATTTGCTGATGGGGGATTAGAAGTGGAACTTGTGATCGAATTCTCAGCTATTCTTCAGAGTCTGAAATTAATTCTGAAGGAATCTTCTCTTAGAAAATAATTATAGGAATTAGTGAAGTAGCTAGCTAATTCCTTCACTAACTCTTCACTAATTCCCTCACTAATGCTTAATTCTTCCACTAACTCATCCACTAATTCTTCCACTGATTCATTTGCTAATTCCTCCACTAATTCCCAGTTTGTTCTTCTCTTGTTCTCTAAGGAGAATTTTCTAGGTTCTACAGTTGGATTAATAAATTCTGACCTATTAAGACTTTCTTAGTATTAACTTGAAGTATTTAAAGACTCATTTTAGGCATCATCAAAAAATGCTAGAATTTTTAGTAGTACATTTACATTTTAAGGTATTTATTTTAGGCTTTCTTAAGAAATACTAGCATTTTTACCATTAAATTCCTGTGTTGAGGCTCCTTTTAGGCTTTAGTAAAAAATGCTGGAATTTTTAGCATTAAATTCTCATTTTAAGGTACTTAGGCTTACAAAAGACCTTTCAGAATTTCTTAGGACGAACTCCTGGGCGTGACTTTTCATAGGCCTAGGCGTGACGTCTTATAGGCCTAGGCGTGACGTCTTATAGGCCTAGGCGTGACGTCTTATAGGTCTAGGCGTGACGTCTCATAGGCCTAGGTGTGACGTCTCATAGGCCTAGGCATTAGTAACTTCGTAAGGCTTGACTATAAGGAAGAATTTATTACCAGAATTAATCTCTATAATCCAGCATTTATCCTTCAATTCTAAAATTCTTAGAGTTACTTAGAGCTGCTTAGAGTTGCTCTAAGTTACTTAGATTTAGAGTCGCTTAGAACTACTTAGAGTTGATCTGAGTTACTTAGAGCTACTTAGAGTTGCTTAGAGTTCTAGGTTATTTAGATTTAGAGTTACTAAAGAGTTGCTCTATGTTGCTTAGAACTCTATATTACTTAGAGCTGCTTATAGCTGCTCAAAGTTACATAAAGTTAGAGTTGCTTAGATTTGCTTAGAGTTACTAAAGAGTTGCTCTAAGTTCGTAGACAAAGAGTTGCTTAGATTTACAAAATTATTTTAGATTTTAGAGTTACTTAATTACCTGAGTTTTACTTAGAGTTGCTTAGAGCACTTAAGTTGCTCAAGTGCTTATTGTGTCTTACTAAGCCAGTGGATTCTGTCTTCCAGAAACAGTAGTTAAGCCAGTAGCCATCAGCCGTCCCGGGCAGCCAGGCGCCAGCCAGCCACCACGAGCTAGAAAGCCAGCTACCAGCAGCCAGCCAGCCAACCAGCAGCCAGCCAACCATCAGCCACCCCCAGAGCTAGCCAGCCAGGCAGCCAGCCAACCAACCAACGCCAGCTAGCCAGCTCACCCACCCCCACCCACTAGCCAGCCAACCACCAGCCAGCTGCCACCCCCAAACAGCTAGCCACAAAACCCCAGCCAGCTACCGCTAGCCAGCTAGTCACTAGCTAGCAAGCCAGCCACCCAACTAGCCGCCAGCTAGCCAGCCAGTCACCACACTAGAAAGCAGCCAGCCAGCTAGTTAGTCAGCCACCCAGCCAGCTAGCCATCAGCTACCCCACCCCACCAGTAGCTAGCCGCCAGCAAAATTTAGCCAGCCAACAACCCCAGCCAGCTATTAAAAGCTAGCCAGTAACCCCACTAGTTAGCTAGCCATATCACCGCCCCACTGCCAGCTATTTAACCACCAGCATTAGCTAGCCACCACCCAGTAGTCACCCAGCCACCCACTAGTTAGCCACCACCAGCCACTAGTTAGCCACAGCCAGCCGGCTAGTTACAGCCAACCACCAGCTAGTTAGCTACACCAGCCAGAGCCAGCCAGCCACTTTAGCTAGCCAGTCCCCAGCTGTTAAACCAGCCAGGTAGCAGCAGCCAGCTAGCCACCATCACCCAGCCCCAGCTAGCTATCACCAACTTCAGCCACCAGCCAGCTTTTAGCTATCATAGCCACCGCCCCCCCGCTTCCTAAACCCCAGCCAGCAGCTAGCCAGCTAGCCAGCCAGCCACCCACCCAGTCAGCCAGCCACCAGTAGCTACCTAGCCACCAGTTTGCTACCTGCCAGCCATTAGTTAGCCCCCAGCCGCCACCACCAGCCACCCACAAGAAGCCCACTAGCCCCAGAGCCACCAGCAGCCAGCCACCGCCACCAGAAAGCCACCCAGTATTGTGGAACGTGTCTTCCAAAATTTTTTTCTAAAGAAAATTTTTTTTTCCCAAAATTCTGAACGGGAAAGAACTAGAAAGAGAATTAATGAACTGTCAAGGATTTTACCTGTCAAGGAATTTGTCTGTCAGAAAGTTTGTCTGTCAAAAAATTTGTCTGTCAAAAAATTTACCTGTCAAAAAATTTACCTGTCAAAAAATTTAGCTGTCCAATAATTTACCTGTCAAATAATTTACCTGTCAAAGAATTTATCTATCAAATAATATACCTGTCAAAGAATTTGTCTGACAAAGAATTTGTCTGTCAAATAATTTACCTGTCAAAGAATTTATCTGTCAAATAATTTACCTGTCAAACAATTTATCTGTCAAATAATTTACCTGTCAAAGAATTTATCTGTCAAATAATTTACCTGTCAAAGAATTTATCTGTCAAATAATTTACCTGTCAAAGAATTTATCTGTCAAATAATTTACCTGTCAAAGAATTTGTCTGTCAAATAATTTACCTGTCAAAGAATTTATCTGTCAAATAATTTCCCTGAAAAGAATTAACTGTCAAATAATTTCCCTGTAAAAAATTTTTTACCCCCCCCCCCCCCCCCCCCCCCCCCCCCCCCCCCAAAAAAAAAAAAAAAAAAAAAAAAAAAAAAAAAAAAAAAAAAAAAAAAAAAAAAAAAAAAAAAAAAAAAAAAAAAAAAACCAAAATTAAAAAAAAAAACAACAAACCCCAAAAACCAAAACACAAAACACAACCCGAAACAAAAAAAAAAAAAAACCCCACACCAAAAAACCAACCCCACAAAAACAAAACAAAAAACCAAAAACCCCCCCAAAAAACCCCCCCCAAACACCAAACCCACCAAAAAAAAACCCCAACACAACAACACAAAAAAAAAAAAACCAAAAAAATTCCCCCCCAACCCAACCCAAATAAACCACCAACCAACAAAAAACCCCCCCAAAAACCCCAAAAAAAAAAACAAAAACCAAACAACAAACAAAAACAAACAAAAAAAAAAAAACCCAAACAAAAAAAAAAACAAACAAAAAACCCAAACCCCCAAATACAAACCAAAAAAAAAAAAAAAACCCCAAACAAAAAACCAAACCAAAAAAACAAAAAACCCCAAACAAAAATAAAAAAAAAACTCAAAAACACAAACACAACACAACACAACATACAAACAACCACACAAAACAACCACAACACAAACAAAAACACAACAACACACAAACCAACAACACACACAAACACACAACACAACAAAACCCAAATACAAAACCCAAACAACACAAGATAACACAACAACACACACTCACAACACAAAACACAACACAACACAACCCCCAACACAAACAAGATAAACAAACAACACAACACAACACAAACAACACACACAAACACAACACAAACAACAAACACACACACACACAATAACAACACAAACACACAACAACACTACCAACACCACACAAACACAACAAAAAACAACCACAACCACACACAAACACACACAAACAACAAAACAAAAAACCACACACCAAAAAACTACACAACACAACAAACAAACACAACAACACAACACAACACAAAACACAACAAAACAAACAAACACAACACAACACAACACTACACAACACAACACACACAACAAACCAACACAACACTACACAACACAAAAACACACCAAACAACAACACAAACACAACACACACAACAACCACAACACAAACAACACAACACAACACAACACAACACACAAACACAAGATAACACAACACAACACAACACTACAAAAACACAAGATAACACACACAACACAACACAACACAACACACAATAACACAACACAACACAAACACTACACAACACAAATAACAACACACACACACAACACAACACTACAACACAAGATAACACAACACAACACAACACAACAAATAACACAACACACACAACCTACACAACACAAGATAAAAACAACACAACACAACACACAACAAAACAAGATAACACAACACACACACAACACAAACAACAAACCAACACAAATAACACAACACAACACAACACAACACAACACAACACAACACAAACACAAATAACACAACACAACACAACACAACACAACAAAACCCAACACAACACAAGAAACAAACACAACAACAAACACAAGATAACACAACAAAAACACAACACAACACAACACAAAACTAACAAACAACACAACACACACAACACAAGAAAACACAACACAACTCATCATAAACAATACAACACCATCAACACCAAATCCTACATATACAACAATACACATTTACATCATAAAACAATGCACAACTACATCATCAACAATACAACAACTACATCATACAACAAAACAATTTTTTAACAACAATACAATACATATAACAATAAACAATTCAATCATACAACAATACATCAATTTCATAATAAAACAATACAACAACTCATCAACACAATACAACAATTACATCATACAACAATACAACAACTACATATACAAAACCAATACATCATACAATAATACAACAATAAAACAACTACATATCAACAATACAACAACTACATCATACAACAATCATCAACTACATCATACAACATACATCAATTTCATCATACAACAATACAACATACAAATCATAAAAACAATACACAATACATCATACAACAATACATCAACACATCATACAACAATACAAACAACTACTCATACAACAATCAACAATCATCATACAAAAATTTAACACAACTACAATCATACAAAAAATTAAAACCAACACATCATACAACAATACAACAACACATCATACAACAATAAACAATCATCATACACAATACACAATTACATCATACAAATCATCAACAAAATCATACAACAATACATCAACTACATCTACAACAATACATCAACTACATATACAACAATACATCACTCTTCATACAACAATACAACACTAATCAACAACAATAAAACAACTACATCATACAACAATACATCAACTACATCAACAACAATACAAAAACTACATATACACAATACATCAACAATCATAAAACAAACAACAACTACACATACAACAATACATCAACTACACATACAACAATACATCAACTACATCATACAACAATACATCAACTACATCATACAACAATACATCAACTACAACATACAACAATACATCAACTACATCATACAACAATACAACAACTACATCATACAACAATACATCAACTACATCATACAACAATACAACAACTACATAAATCCAACAAACATCAACAACATCATACAACAATACATCAACTAAACATACAAACAATACAACAAATACATCATACAAAATACAACAACAAAACAAAACAACAATACATCAACTACATCTACAACAACAAACAACTACATCATACAACAATAACAACAACACATCATACAACAATACATCAATTACATCAACAAAAATACAACAACACATCATACAACAATACATCAACTCCTCATACAACAATAAAACAACTACATCAACAACAATACAACCAACCACATCATACAAAAATACCATCAACTACATCAACAACAATAAAACAACTACATCATACAACAATACAACAACTCACATACAACACAACAACAACAACAAAAACCAACTACATCATACAACAATACAACACTACATCAACAAAAATCACAACTCAATACACCAACTACACATCATACAACAATACATCAACTACACCCATACAACAATAAAATCACTACATCAATCAACAATACAACAACATC